GAGAAATTAAAGAAAACAACCAAGGACTTGTAGACAAGTGTTCACAGAAGTTTTATTTGTAATGATCTCAAAGTAAAAACAATCCAGAATCTCTCCCCCTGTGATTAAATACACAAATTGCTATGCTGTATAGCCATGTGATGGAATACTACTTAGCAATAAAATAAACTATTCGTACGTGCAACATGGGTAAATCACGAAATAATTATAGTGAGCGAAAGAATCCAGGTCCTCCCTTTTCCCAAAATATTCTGGTTATACAAAATACTAGAAAGTGATCACTAATCTGTGACAACAAAAAGAAGATAGGTGGTTGTACAGGGGACAGGCAAGGAGGAAGGAGAGGTGAGAAATGGAAATCAAGAGGAAACTGGAGCATATTGGACATATGTTGCTATCTTGATTGTGGTGATGGTCACGTCTGTATACTTATGGCACAGCTCATCAGACTGCACACTTTAAATACATCCAGCTGACTGTGCAGTAATTACACTGCAACAGAATTCAAGGGGTTAGTGAGGAGGTTAGAGCCTCTGCCTTTCTGTACAACCTGAGGATCTCAAAATAGAATCCAAGGGCAGAGCTGTTTGACACATGCTCAGTCCTTCCTCCGCATGGCTCCACCTGGCGAGGCTGGCCCTGAAGGCGGACGTGTGACCACACACGGTGAGAGGAAAGCATGCTAAAGGGGGTGCCTCCTCACAGGTATTTCATTTCCTTTGTCAACATTTTATTCTTAGGGCCAGGGATTTAGCTCAGTGGGGCTGCACCTGCCTCACAAGTGCAAGGCCCTGAGTTAGATCCCTGGTACCAAAAAAATTATTCAGCTTTCTTATTCCTATTGATATTGTTATCTTTTGAATTCAACAGTTTTTTGAGGGGGCACAGTTGTGGGGATTGAGCCAGGGGCCTCACGTATGATAGGCAAGAGCTGTGTCACTGAGCAACATCGCTAATCTCATTGTAATAGATTTTTAAAATGTTAATCTCACGCTCATTAGTCTTGCTTTACTTTCTTATTTCATATGTAACATACTTTGTCTATCAATTATTTGGGGTTTACCTTGTAGACAGTCATTGTTTGTAATAGCAGTTGCATTTTTTCTTTTTCTAGTCTTCTAACTTTTTACCTTTTTTTTCTATTTGTGCAGACTGCCCTTTTTTCTGGCCCATGGACATAACGAGGCCATATTTACTGTAAATATGTTTCTGTTGAGACCCCTCTTGGATTAATGGAGGTAAAGGAGGGTAATAGGAGTTAATTCTGCCCCTATACTTTTTGCTAATCAGCAGCTTGGTAACAACCCTGTAGATTCTCAGATGAAAGTTGTTAGTTCACATTCTTCAAGGGGTCAATATATCCCAGGTTGACTACCTTATTTGGGGTTCATTTGGTAGGGTAAATCTGCATCTAAATGCTTTTCCTGGCCTGAGCTGACCCTATACTTTAATATCCTAGAGTTATGTTCCTAGACTTTAATGTTCCTAAGATTCTCCAACCCATTCGAGGATAGCCTGTCCAGAGCTTCTAGATTCTCCTCTTCTACTAGGCCAAGTTTAGGGTTTAGGAGCCTCTATGTGTGCTGCAGAAGATGGTGGGAAATAGGTCCAGTCTGGGTTAGTTTAGTTCCAGCCAGTGAATCTGGGAATCTGTGAATAGTGAATCTGAGTGTAACTATACTGTGAATCTGTCTTAGGTGTCAGAACCTGGGACAGCTCCTCCTTTTGACTTTGCCGCCCCTCCCCTGGCTTGGGCTAGGGAAAGAATGGGCAGATTTGGTCATGATGTTCTTCTCCAGCCTCTTTTATCACTGGTTCTTCCTTCCATCTTCATGCTAGACTACCACTAATAGTGATAGTTCCTGTCATGGGTGCTGTTTTTCATCTTCATTCCTTCTGCTAATGCTCCTTCATACAACTTTCTCCCATCCTTCCTTTGCCTGGTTAAGTCCTGCTTTTCCTCCACAACCTCTAGGAAACCTACTCTGATTACCATATATCAGCCACCTGCTTCTGTCCTTGCTCTCAAAGCTGCACTGAAATTTATCATCTATACTATTCAGGTCCCTTACGGTCCCTAATCACAACAATTAAGCACATGAAATACAGCTACTTTGAAATGATAAATAGGAAATATACAACAAATTTCAGAGACACAACATTGATAATTTAACATTTTTATTTATTTGTTTATTATTTTGAGATGGGATCTCGCCCAGGTTGGGCTCCAAATCTCCTTCCTCAGCTTCACAGGTTGCTGGAATTACAGGCCTGTGCCACCATACCTGGCTAATTTTATTCATAACATTTATTTATTTATGGTACCAGGAATTGATCTCAAGGTCTTGCACCTGCCAGGCAGACACTGTGTCACTAAGCTACATCCCTGGCCCTTTATTTATCTTTTTTGAGGGAGTCTTACCACGTAGTTCATGCTGGCTTCAAAGTTAAGTATGAATATAAGTATTTAGAACAGGGAATTCGCACACTTATGGAATGGTAATCATCCAGTTCACTTAAATGAAGACAGATGTCTTTCTGTTTCTGAATTTTTTATGCCTTCTATTTTATTCAGGTGAACTCAAATTTAACAAATCATTGTATGCAAGCTTGTGCCAGGCACTAAAAGGGGGGATGGAAAAGCATCTGATATAACCCCTGTCTTTAAGGAACTTAGAATATAGCACAAGAGGCAGATAATGATTATGCTAGTAGCTATTACTTTGCTTGCATTCTTTCACACGCTGCTTTAAAGTCTTATTCTGTATGAAATCATTTCTTCTTTGCAACAGCCCAATGGGGGTAATATTACTACCCCCATTTTACCTAGGTGGAAACTGAGATACAGAGAAATTAAATAATTTTCCCAGTGTTGCACAGCTAGTAAATGGTAAGGCCAAGATTAACAATCTGGCTCTAGAGTCTTTGTCCTTGACCACTACTTTAAAGATATATTTGAGCAGTAGTTCACAAAGTGTGATTCCCCAGGTCAGTATCATAAGCCTCATCTACAAAGTTGTTAGAAATACACATTCTTAGCCAGGTGTGGTGGCACACACCTGTAATCCTAGCCCTCAAGAAGATGAGACAGGAGCATCACTGCAAGTCTGAAGCTATATAGTGAGTTCAAGACTAGCCTGAGAGACATAATGGGACCCTTTCTCAAAAAAACATACATTCTTGGGTCATTGTAAGACCAGTTACTGAATGAAAAACACTGGAGGTAGGCTTAGAAGTTAGTGTTTTATCAAGCCCGCTGGGTGATTATGATGGTTGCTACTTGAGAAACAGCTAAAGAAAAGCTAGACATGCTAAGGGTCAGAAATCAATCTTATCATGAACAAGGATGGGTATGGTCCATCTCTTAAGTTTCCATACTCAGCATCTGGTGTAAAGCAGACATAAAAAAGTATGAATTAATATATATAAATATCTATATGGGAAGGTGAAGTTTGAACAATCACTTTTTTTCTTTTTGAGACACTGTCTCACTGTGTAGTTCAGACTGGTCTTAAAGAACTATGTAGCCCAGGCTGGCCTCGAAATCACAGCTATCCTTTTGCCTCAGCCTTCCAAGTGCCGGGATTACAGCGGTTCATCACTGTGTCTGGTTTATGGGTCTCTTACTGTTACTATTCTTTTGCTACAGCAGACCAAATGGGAGGGATGTTTTCAGAAACTGACAGTAACAAGGAAGTAAGTGTGATGTTTCTGGCAAGATACAATGAGGGTCTGCACCAGCACAATGAACCATCAAAATAGAAGGGGGATCATGTGAAAGCAGTTCAGGAATTAAATATACCAAGACATGATGATCAGTTTTATAGTGGAAAGGAAAAAGAGGGAACTGTCATTTCTGGCATGAAGATGCCAGTCACTGAGTCAAGAAGCACAAGACACAAATACATAGGTATGTTTGTAAAGGTAGGATAAAGGGTTTGTTTGGTGTGGACTGCTTAAATTTGAAGTACTAGAATATCCAGGTGGAGCTGTCCAGCAGATATTTGGAAATATGAATTTGAGATGGGAATGGAAGTACAGATTTGGAAGGATAGTTGGGCCATATGAATGGACGAGATCCTTAAGGGGAGAATGGAATAAGAAAAGGTTTTGCAGCTACAGTGAACACTTATTGAATGGAGTAAAAGCAAAAGGGGCCCTTCCAGAAAATTGAAAAGGACTGAGGCATTAACTAAGGAGACTTCTAAAGTGCCCAGGTCAAGTAAAAGTATTATTTTTATTTTTAGGAGAGGCACAGTGTCAGATGCTATGGAGAAATAATTAAAAACTATTTTTTGGATTTTGACACAAAAAGTCATTTAAATGATTTGGTGAAAGAAGCAGATTGACAGAGTGCGGCTATCACGAGCTGAGTGAATGAGAAAGTGGAAGCAGGTGCCTCCCAGATCCTGCAGACAGAAGTCTGTAACAGCACTCAAGTTAAGACTGTGACATCTTCCAGGGTAGGCAGGGTCTCTCACATGTCTGTGGTCTTGGCGCCCAGCACTCGGCCTGGAAGAGAGGGTGGCGTCAGTGAGTTCAGTGACTAGGGACGGAGAAAGACTTCGCGGAGCCAGTCACTGCAGCCCAGGCTTGAAGGATGAGGGTGATTGGGAGGACAGGTGGGATGCAGGGCCCTTGGGTGACGGGATGCTGGAGCGTGAAAGGGTCTGGGAATGAGGTGGGGTTCCCTTGACTTGCGTGTGGCTCTTTACGAAGGGTGGGGCTGTGTGGGGGTTCGCAGGGACCTTTCTGGGGAAAAGATAGGGCCCGAGGCTGCAGCGGGGGTGTTGCCACGCCACGCCCCACTTACGCCACTGCGCGGTTCCGCGGCGCCTCTACCGGAGCCCTCCCGCCGGGCT